CATGAGGAGCTATTCAATCCATTGGGTTAAATTAAAACTAGACTCATACAAAAAAAAAAAAACTAAACTCAAACTATACCTACTACAATCCCAAGTATGCTTATAAATACACACACAGACATGAAAACGTAAGCTATAAAGTCCCAAGTAAGCTTATAAATACACACACAAACATGAAAACATCAAAATCTTAAAAGTGGCTACCTCTGGGTGGTGGGGTTATGGATGACTTGTTCTCCTGTATTTCTGAATCTGCTACGGTGGCGTTAGCTTATTATGACAGTTTTCTAGCAAGAGGAAGGGGCGGGGAAATGAAAGGCAAGTTTGCTTTCTGCTCCTTCTGACACCACAGGCCACACATGGAAGAGCAGCCGGAAGCAGGTTACTCTGCTGGGAAACTCACTTTTAGAAGCCTCAGTACACGCAGCATATTTCCTTAGAACGTGGAAAAAGTGGATCAACATATTTGCTTCAGACTAATCCAGAAGTACGGTTTTCCTGAATTTCTCCTTACACTGTAAAGTCAGAATAGTCCAAGGCTCTAGCCACAAGTTCACAAAGTTACACTTAGAACACAAAGAAAAGGGAATAGCATCAGATGATAAATCCTGTGGTTTCCCATATTTCGTCTGATTTTTAACCGAAAGACATTACACAAATCTTTTTTGAGCTGCACTGCTCCTAGATAATAACAGAATCTTCCCCAAAGGAGCTGGGAACCGGAATGAAGTCATCCCCAAACAGGCCCACAAGGCTGCCACGTATGTTGGCCAAAATGAACACGGCCTCCCTCCTGCTGTCTGCTTTCAGCCTGTCTTCCAGATCATCTGTCTCTTTAATTTCAAGTTAAGAGCTCTTTAAAACTGAACTCTCTCCTTTTCTCTGGATCTTGACTCCCATTTCAGTATTCATTTTTTATTATAAAAGCAATAAACGCACACATGTGTATAAAGTAAAACGTACCTCTACATCCCCCCACTCCCCTTTCTAGAGATAACAAGCTTCCTGTGTCTCCCGCCACAAATTTAATGCATATACAAGCAGCTCTTGTTTAAGCTAATGAGACTATATCATACACACTGTTGGGCACTTTTTTTTTCTTACTCAATACTGACACCTCTTCACACACACACACACAGACGTAGTTTTTCGTTTCTGTTTGTTTTCCATTTTAATGTGACTCTCAGCCTTCTGAGAGACCGTCTACCATGGTGAGAAGGAGAGCTGTACTCCCCATTTGCCCTTAGAGTAGCTGCATAACCTCTGGGAAATCCCTTAACCCTTCCCTGGATCTCTGCTGCTACTTCATCCCCAAGGAAAGGGGAGAGGGTTGTTGGGACGGGAAGAAAACTTTTTGTGCCCGAAAACTGAGGCTGAAGCAGGTGACCCCTCTAGTTTCAAGAGCTGTGTGATAGGCCCCCCAAAGATGTCCACATCCTAATTCTCAGAACCTGTGAATATGTTACCTTACGTGACAAAAGGTGCTTTGAAGATGTGATGAAGTTAGGGATCTAGAGATGGGAAGAGTATTCTGAATTATACAGGTGGGCCCAATGTAAGTAATTACAAGGGTCCTTATAAGAGGGAGGCAGGGGGATCAAAGTCAAAGAAAGAGATGTGATGACAGAAACGATGTTGGAGTGGGGTGGAGTCACAAGCCAAGGCATGCAGGCAACCTCTAGAAGCTGGGAACAGCAAGGAATGGACTCTCCCACAAAGCCTCAGAAGGAATGCAACCGTTCCGACCCATTTTAGATCTCTCATCTCCAGAACTGTAAGAGAATAAATTTATGTTGTTTTAAGACACTATGTTTATGGAGATTTGTACAAGAGCGATAGGAAACACAAGCTGCCACCTCACGGTTCTAAAATGCCTGAGAATCCAACGAGCGAGCACCTACCCATGGGACAAGGTAAGCAGAAGGCGATGACGGAAAACATGTGGAGAGAAGCAGGAAATGCTGGAGGAGTGAGGGGAAAGGCAGGGCAGGGGCCCGAGGCCTGGGGCTGTGGAGTTTGATGTAGGCTGGCTTCCCCTTAGGTCACCCATAAAGGCCACTTCCTGTAGTTAAAGTTGGCCCAGGGTCTGACTTGGGAATGAGGGTCCAACAAAATGGATGCTGGTTTGAGGGTCAAAGGGATGGGAGCTGAAGAACTGAGAGTCTGAAATTCAGTTAAGTTCTCTTTCCTCCAAGTTTATGCTCTGCAGTTTTGTTGTGTTGAGTATTTTACAGCAAGAATTTGGGCAAGTCAGAGCTAACAGAAGGCTGAACAACTGTCCTGGTTTGCCCAGGACTGAAGGCTTCCCAGTATGCAAGGCTTTCCATTTTAAAACCAAGAGTCCCAGGTGCACCAGGATGACTTGGTCACCTTGGCTACGGCCTAAAGACCTTTCCCCGACCAGGGTAGGGGCTACAGGGCAACCTATGATTTAACATCACCAAAATGCAAAAACGCACATGCTCAGGAAGAGGCTGAGAGACTGGGAGAGAGAAGAGCCCAGGGATCATGGAGATCTCTGTGGGAGAGACTGCGGTCACAAAAGGAGAAGCAGTGCTGAGTGCTTACAAGACCCCGGGGGGCTGTGACGGAGTGACTCTCCTGTTCACCCTTGTGGATCCTGAAGACACCAGGGATAGGACAGGGCTTAGGGTCAAAAGGAAGGCTTGAGCCATGTGCCATAGTCCTCAAAAACGGAAGGAGCCTGGCTGGGGGGTCAGGAGACAGCAGCATGGAGGAGGAGATCAGTTGAATGCTCGGAGCCTCAAAGGAACAGGGGTTTTACATGAGAGTGGAAGAGAAGTGGTCCGGAAGATACAGAGGGAATAAAGGGGACCCTGACCACATGGCTTCTGGTCTTTTCTACTCAAAAATTCTAACACATGCAGGTGGGGATAAATCCTTCCACTGTGGGTCCAAAATTTGGCCCCGACCTCTGAGAGCACTGCATTCTTGGCAGGACAGAGGTTCCCTGTTGAAAAGCTGCATCTTGACCATCGCTCTGCCTTAGGCAATTTACCAGATTCACAGAAAAGCCTGAAAAATATCCCAGTGGGCAGCCTTTACTCTCCAGAGCATTTCTGGAGAATGCCCTCTGCACTGAGCACTAAGACGTTTGGCAAAAAAGCTGAAGTGAGGATGGGCTGGAGCTCTGACTGGCTGGGCTGGAATCCTGGGTCCACTACTTACTAGCTGGGATCTTTCGGCAAGTCCTTTCACCTCTCTGTGCCTCAGTTTCCTCGTCTGTAAAATGGAGAAATCAGACGACCTACCTCCGAGGCACTAACACCATGCTTGCAGCATCGTCACTATCACCTGCAGAGTGTAGGAATTTGCAAAGGGAAATGGGGCAGACCCATTATCCATTCCCTACTTCTCTGATAACAGAACCCAACTTTGTCTGGGGATGGCAGCATGCTCAGCTCACTTCTCCCTTTCTCAGCCTCCCTTGCTGTAGCCATGTGACCTAGTTCTGGCCAATGAAGTGCAAACAGAAATCTGTTGGGGAGAAAGGAGGTTTGTGAAAAAACTTTTGCCTTCCTGAAAAGAAGGAGAAACAGAAGCTGGTGCCCACATTCCCCCTTCTTCCAGCCCTGGATACGGAGGTGATGCTGGGCGCTGTGGCAGTTATAATCATGGGGCAAATGCCAGTGCTCTGAGGTAGCAGAGACAGAAGAAGCATGGGTTCCTGATAGCACACCGGGCAGCTGAACCAAAGCTGATAATCGCCTACCCTTGCTCTTGTTAAGAAAAATAACTCCCAATTTGCTTAATTACTTTATTTGGGGTTTATAGCTAATTGTAGCTGAATACATTTCTAAATGATATAGGGGCTTAGCCTGCCTCCTACAAAAGCACAGCACATTTGAAATTCAGGTCACCTGCTCTATCAAGTGATTTTTTTTCAAAGAAAGGAATCAGGTGCTAAAGGACCTAGCATAAACCCCATCTTTCTTTTCCAAAGTGAATGTAGAGGGGTGGTGCCAAAAGAGCAGGGTCACAATGTACAGGTGTGCCTGAGAACACCACGCATGAGGAGGCCCTGTTCAGCAAAGGGGAGCTGCCACCCTCAGGGCTGAAAAGGAAGCAGATGAAGCCACTTCCCCAAGCCTGGCCTGAGCCCAAGCACTACTGAGGACAAAGCATCCCACAGAGTAGAGGAAAGCTGATCCCACTAAGAGTCATGTAACCTGGCTATTTAACTGTTCCCTCACAAAAGTCACAGACCGGTTCTGAATTATGGTCGTGGTCAATAATGTAAGTTTATTTAAGATTGCTACTGCTGTTTTATGCTAACCACACCTCATCCATCCAAAAGCTTCTTAAACAGCCTTAAAGGAACTAAATGTTTGGATTTGGTAAGCTCCTCTGCTTCCCTTCCCCCATCTGGCTCTCCACTCTCGGACTGGAAAAGTGAGCTTTTATATCAGAGTCCGGGTCCTTGCAAAAGCAAAACTGAGAAAAGACAACAGTGATGGAGAAAGTAAAATGCTTACCAAAAAACCCAGGAGTTTACCCTAGGCCGCGTCCACAAGAGCTCGCTGCGCTTGCCCTTGCTGACAACCAACCCCCGCCCCGCCCACCCCGCTCCGCTGGGGAAGGGCAAGAATGAGATCAGCTAGCGTCTTCCAAGCAGGCGGGTGATGACCGTAACTGGTCCCACGATCCAACGTCAGGAGGACAGCGGCTAGGGGCCGCCCCCGCCCAGAGGCGGGCTGGCTTCCACTAGCCGGCAGGGGCTCTGCGAGGTGCCGGGAGCCCGCGAGCGTCCGTCTCGGGTCCCCCACCCGTGCGTCCGGGGGCTCGGGCCGCTACCCGCGTCTCATTTGGCGCCCGGGCACCGGGGCCCTCATCCCGGGCGATGGCGCGGGCCTGGCTCCGGGCCCGGGCCGCCCCCCTCCATCTTCTCCCCCTATCCCCCGCGGGAGCCGGAGCCGGTCTCCTTTCCCCGGCCCGCCTCCCGGCGCGCAGACCCCGGCCCCGCCCCGGCCCGCACTCACGCTCCACGTCGTGCAGCTTGGCCCGCTCCTCCTCCAGTTTGCCCTTGAGGCTCTCGGCCTCGCTCTTGAGCGACGCCAGCGTCTCGTTCTCGTGCAGCCCGTCGGTTGCCATCTTCGAGCGGGGACGCGGCGGGAGGGAAGCGGGGATGCGAGTCAGCGGGCGGCGGAGGCCGGGCCGGCGAGCTTGCGCTGAGCCGCCACCGGCGCAGCTCCAGCCGTCTCCCCAAGCGCGCCCCGCCCCTCGGCGCTGACGCCGGCTGCTGAGAGCCGGGCGGCTGCGGCCGATCCCCTCCCCCCTTCCCCGGACGTGTCCGCGGGCGCAGAGCCCTTGCGCAGTGCCCTAGGCGAGGCCCGAGTTAGCGCTGCAGCGCACAGCACCCGGGGACGCAGGGAGTGTGGTGCCCATTTTGCGGGTGGGAAAACCGAGGTTAGGAGGAGATACGTGACTTGCTGAAGGACGCGCACTTAGTGAGGGCCAAGCTGGGATTCTAACCCAGGACTGTCCGGCTCCTGGGAGCTTGGGGAAGCCCCAGTGACACAGCCCTTGCAACACCACTTTCCCCCAGTCCCTCGCACACATCTCCCGTCCTTGGTGGCTTCTGCCTGCCGAGAGAGGAGAGGTTAAGGGGGCCTGGCTCGCGCCACTGGTACCCAGTCTGACCCCTGATAGCTCTGATGCTCCCCCTACAACGAAATGAAAACTCTCCTCGTTTATTGACTTAAATATACAAAGCTAGTTCTGGCTTCTGAGAAGCTGTGGGGTCTTTGCCCGTTCTTGGTTTTGCCTTTCTTTTATTCACTCGGGAATTAAGTCCCTGGCAGCAGAAGGAAGTGGTGGTGGGGCCAGGGACACACAGGGACCCAGACTCGGGGCTTTTGAGCCCCTGCCCAGTGATCTCAGATACGTCACTTCTGAGGCAGCTTCCTCCACCTTAGAATGAAGGGTTGCTATAGTTCCCTCAAGGAAGCAAATTAGTGACTTTGTGGCAGACTCAAGCATCCGTTCTTTCCAGTCTCTTTTCATGCCAGGCACGGTTCCAAGCGCTTTACATTAATAACTCACCACAGTCACCCTGAATGGGTACTATTGTCACCTCCATCTTACAAATGAGGAAACTGAGGCACAGAAAGGTTAAATGATTTGTTTAGTTCACACTCCCAGAAAGTGTCAGAAACACCTTCCTCATAGGATCCTCATCAGGAGTGACTACGTAGAGCATTCAGAGTATGTGCTGGTTGTTATCATTAAGGCTGCCTGGTACACTTGAGCAATTCACAGGAAGTAATTTAAATGAGACACTGGATCATGGGGGACACTTCTCCCAAGGCTCATCTCAGAAGACCTGGGAAGAGCAGCATCCTCTCATCACCTCCTCAGGCTGGCACCTCTTTGCCCACCGTGGGATGTGTGTGTCTGCCTCAGGGGCTGCCTGTTTGTGAAGACCTGGGGTGAGTGGAGCTTCATACTGGTGTGTGCCCTCCTCTGAAGGCTCTTTGTGTAAAATAACCGCCAAACAGCCTCCAATCTGGAGACTTTACCATCTAGACATGAGGCCATGTAACTTTTCAATGGCTGGCAAAGTTTGCAAAGTGCCTTCCTGTGGTTTGCTGTTCACTGCTTTTTGTAAGTGAGGAAGCTGGGGGTCAGAAAAGTTGAGATCTGCTACGTTTCAGCAGTGGTGGAGTTACAGGGTTGCCCCTATCCATGGAAAGTGTCCACGGGGGGCTGTGTCTACACAATCCCAAACACCTGGATTAAAAAGTTAGCTGTCAGTCATTTGGATGTCTGCACAGTCAAAAGAATCTGTCTGAATATTTGGGAACCCCAGGTGCTTGTGGTGGAGATAGCTGGCGACAATCCTCTGAAGAATATCTCCAGGCGGGGTTCTGACCTGGGAAGAATCTGTGATGCTACAGAGGACCTGACATCTGGGATTCTGGGCTCCTTCTGTCCACAGAGGAAGTTGTTTCAAAAGGAGAAGAGCTGGATTAATAAATAGCACTGCTCCAGGATGGTAGGGCCATCAAAAAGCAGGTTTATTTTAAGAACTGAATGTGCTCAGTTTGCAGTTTGCAGATCCAAGTTTAGAACACAATGTGCTGCAGGTAGAAGCCCATCACACTGAGCCTGAACCCCGTGACATCAGGATTACTATGCTGTACCAAAGCCTGTGTGCCACCTGAGGCTGCTTACTTGCAATTTGCTTTATAGGAATAATTTTTTTAAATGTGATCACTGTCAGGGGTTATAGTGGGACCAAAAGGATGAATATGGTTTTTCCTCTTCAGTTGGATAAAATGTCAACGTTATCTTTCCTCCCTTAGATATGTGTTTTGTTTTTTGTTTTTTCATCGTGTCCGTGATCGGGATTTCCTACTGAGCTTGTGGGGAAGAGTGCTTTACCACTTGTGACCAGGTGGGGGCTCCACACGGCTTTGCAAATCCTCTGAGACAGGATATTCCTAGTGCCTCAGCCCGGCTGTGGGCATTTCTGCTGCAAGATCTGAAGCCTGCGCAAAGCGATCTCTGGTGAGGATTGATGTGTGTACTTTGAAAAGTGCCAGGTTTTGTGTTCAGTGCCTACCCTCACTGAAGGCTTAGACCCAAGGAGCACTTTTCCTTGAGCCTGATTTTGCTAAATACTGAGGCCCTATATGGTTCAATTTTCTGCAGAGCTGTTCCTAGGGACAGCTGGAACAGGGCCTTTGGGAAGGTGCTCCCCGGCTCTTTATTTACCAGAGTTTCTTTTAGCTTGCTTGCTTGCCAAGCAGACTAGGAGAAGACAGAAGAAAAAAGCATTAGCTCTAAAAACTAATAAGTTAAAACATTTATTGAGCACTTCCTCTGCTGGGTATTGTTTTAAACATTTTCTCAAATAAACTCACTTTTGTTTCTCCCAAAACCCTATGAGACAGATGCCATTATTGTTGTTTTACAGATGGGAAACAGACCTCCTGGGAGAGGGGAGGTCCATTGGTACAAGGCCTCCAAGTAACATAACTGGGAGTTGAACCCAGGCAGTCAGAGCCCAGAGCCCACATCCTAAATCCCCACACTATACTGTCTCACCCAGCCTGGGTGTGCTGCAAATTGTGTGTGTGTGTGTGTGTGTGTGTGTGCGTGAACTGATTCTCTGGCAACCCACCTGTCACAGGACCCTCACATTAGATATTGTTTCAAGACAGGTAATGACTTAAAGTTTTAAAGAGCATCACTTACAATTTCTGCACATGGTGAACAGTAGCTGAGCTGTTGAGATTTCTTGAAAACTGGTCTCAGAGCCCGTTGTTTGAAACATTTGTCACAGGAGCCAAATACGTTAATGAGAAAGGTCTGATCACACATCTTTTACCCAAGATGAAGCTGAAAAAGAGGGAGAGAAGAAAAAGGGATGTGTGTGTAAGTAACTTCACCTCTCTGAATCTTTGTTTGCTAGTCTGTCAAATGGGTATCTTAGAAGCTACCATCACAGGGGTACCAGGGGAATTATGAGGGACAGCGCAGGAAGCGTTTAGCTCCAGGCTGGAATACAGTTATGCTGCCCTGTGGGTGGCTACAATAGCAGCAGCCATAGCAGCCGCCACCACAGCAGCGGGGTGGGGGGTGGGGTGGGGGGGGGGGGGGGGGAAGGGGGGGGAGGGGGGATGAGGCTGGAGATGAGGAAAGAGCAGAGAGGTGCCTATGGCCACAGTTCAGACGAGATGAAGGCATGAACTAAAGCAATGCTCTGGGGTCTGAGGGGTCGTGGTGCTGCTGTTGGAGAGGGAGGCCAAGGCGGTAAAGGTGGGAGGGAGCAGCCATTGTCGCCGAGCCGATTTAACAGGCGTTCCAAAGAGTGGGCCATGTCAAGGGCAAAGAAGAGAACCATTGAGTGTAAAGATATTGGGGCCCTGGTCTGAACATTTGGAAGAGCCCGAAATGAGAGGGATGTATTTGTGGGGCAGGTGGCAGTGGGGACACCGCTGAGGCGGAATGTCTACCAGAGGTCACCATGGGGGCTGGGGAGAGAATGGGGAGCTCATGAGTTGGGGTGGACTCCTACAGCCAAGGGCCGGCTGGCGGAGTTCTTGAGATCTCTGAGGAACGAAGGAGTAGAGGGCAGTCCCCTAAGGATGAGAGATCAGCAGGGGACCAGCTACTGATCACCTCCAAGGGCTGGTCCCTGACCTCTCACAGCCACCCTGGGAGGGAGGAAGGACATCCGTGTTACCACAGAGGAAATGCTGAGGGATTAAATGAGATCAAGGTCAGTGACGGAGCCTGAATCTGTATGTAGTGGGACTCCACAACGTTTACCACAGAGCTAGACCATCAAGCCGCTCTGCTTTGTCCCAAAGGGCGAGTTAAAGACTGGCAAAGGGCCTGCCCACCCGAGCCTGGCCCGTGCCGGGGCCCTAGTAATGTTGCCCACCTCCCGCCCCCTACTGCCCAAACCTGCTAAGGTGGCCAGTCACGGGGTCGTGCTGAGGACTCCAAGTAATAGCATTAGGAAGGTGAGCCGTGGATTTATTCAGCAAGGGAGCGACGTCATTCAAGTGGATTATTCCAGCATTTGCACTTCCAGAAGTAGGTCAGAGAGACAAAGTACAGCAGGAAAATCAACTAGGTTAAGAGACTGTTATCATGTCCTGGGAAAGAGGAAATAATGTCTGGACAGAGTAGCAGCTGCAGGAATGGAAGGAGAGAGGAACCCGAGGAAGCGAGGGCAGAAGGAATAGAAGGATGACTAGGAATTATGGAAGATCGACCCCTACAAAGAGAGAAGTAGAAAAATTGCCACACAGAAAGACAAATATCATATGCTATTTCTTACATGTGGAATCTAAAAAAAAGGGGGTGCAAATGGATGTATTTACAAAACAGAAGTAGAGTCATGGATGTAGAAGACAAATTTATGGTTACCAGGGGATAAGGGGGGAGGAGAGATAAATTGGGAGATTGGGACTGACATATACACACTGCTATATATAAAATAGATAACTAATAAGAACCTGCTGTATAGCACAGGGAACTCTACTCAATACTCTGTAATGGCATATATGAGAAAAGAATCTAAAAAAGAGTGGATATATGTATATGTATAACTGATTCACTTTGCTGTACAGCAGAAACTAACATAATATTGTAAATCAACTATACTCCAATAAATATTAAAAAGAAAAGAAAAATTGCCAATATTCCAAATCTGGATAATTTTTTTCTCCCAAACTGAATTTTAATTTTTTTCAAATTATAAGAGCTGTACATGTTCATTATAAATAATTGGAAACAGAGGAACATGAAGAAGGAAAATCAATCACCTACATGCCCTGTCCTAACAAATAACTGGCCTGTGTTAGCATTTTATGTTTTCTTCTAGGATCTTCATAAGCACCTATGTGTATACATTAAAAAAATTGGCATGACATGCCATACGCAATTTTGAACTTTAGTTTTTCGCTTAATAGTGTTTTCGCCTTTGCATGTCATTGCATATTCTTGGAAAACACCAATTTTTAAATGGAGACTACACATTTTGAATTATATCAACCTTAAATCATATCGCATAGCTAGCATCTTAGATCTGGTTGGTTGAACATGGGCAAGCTACAAACTAAAGTTGGAAGATTATAGTATTTTAAAACTATAAACATTATACATGGTTGTTGTAGAAAGTTTGGAAAAATCAGAAAGGTATAAGGAAGAAAACAATCACCTATAAACCCATTGCCCAGAGAGACTCCTTTTCACATTTCGGCGTATGCAAGAATAGATTTTTAGAACCAGGGGTTATACTGGTCATGTACACTGTTTATATTTTTACATCCTGGTGTTTTTCATTTATATTTATAACATGGGCTAAATTTAATTTCAGTACATTCTATTGTACTTATTGACAATAATCCTTTTTATGATGAGGGAATTTTTCAAGCTAGAGCAAATGCTTCAATGGGCATTTTAACAAGAAAAAGATAAAAATACCCCATTTTAACAAGCTTTGACATGAAGTTGTTCTGCAGTAGGAGTTCCCTAACCCTAAGGCATGCACAAAATTTCTTTGAAATGTTTCACTTAAACAGATGTTGCAAAAAATCACCAAAACCCCCACTACCCCGTGATTATTTTTAAAAAGTCAGTGCCAGGATAGAAAATCAAAAGTGAAAGTCCCCACTATCTGCCCTGCACTCAATTCCCTGAGTTAGATTCTTCCAGACTTTTCTGATGCCATAGACAAAGCTTTGTTAGTTATATAAATGGGGCTGTTAGCTACTTGCTTTTTCACCTAACTTTATTGTGTTAGTGCTTACAGAGCTATCTGTTTTTTGGTAATAGCTTCAGTATTATTTTATCCTATGGAGTAATGGAGTATCATAATTTAATAAACCAACCTCCTACCGTTGGATATATAGGATATCACCAGTTTTCACTTCCAAAATAATGCTTCATTGACCCAATTAAAAATGGGCAAAAGTACCCTCAGACTTTGCTGGTGGGAATGTAAAATGGTGCATCCTCTGTGGAAGACAGTTTGACAGTTACACAAAAAGTTAAATAGAGTTGTTACCAAATGACCAAGCAAATTCACTCCTGGATATATCATACGTTCACATAAAAATTTATACACGAATATTTGTAGCAGCATGTAACACAAAAAGTGGAAACAACTAAGATATCCATCAACTGAGGTATGCATAAAGAAAATGTGGTCTCTTCATACAGTAGACTCTTCTTTGGCAATAAAAAATGATGAAGTTCTGATAATGTGCTATATCATGGAAGAACCTTGAAAATTTTATGCTAAGTGAAATAAGCCAGACACAAAAATCCACAAGTTGTGATTCCATTTATACGATACGTCCGGGACAGGCAAATCCATAGAGACAGAAAGTAGATTAGAGGTTACCAATAGGTGGGGGAGAGGGGGTTGGGAGTGACTGCTTAATGAATACGGGATTTCTTTTTTGGGGTGATGGAAATGTTCTGCAATTAGATAATGTACATTCTTGTGAATATACTAAAAACCTCTGAAATGTATGCTATAAAATAGAGTTTTATATTGTGTGCAATCATATCTCAACACAAATTATTTTTTAAGTGCGCAAAAGACTTGGACACTTCACAAGTGCAGATATCCATATGGTCAATAAACAGATAAAGAGGTGCTCAACATCATTAGGCATCAAAGAAACGCAAGTTAAAACCACACCGTGAATCCACCACTTACCCACCAGAATACCTAACAGTAAAAAAGACTGATGATGTGAAACGGGGGTGAGAATGTAAAGAACTGGACCTCCTCTGCTGGTGGGAGGATAAATTGGCACAACCACATTGGAAAACTGGTTGATAGGACCTACTATAGCTACACATACATATTAATTCTATTCCTTGATATATACTCAACAGAAATGCATACTTGTATCCTCAAAAAAAACCCCATGAACAAGAATGTCATAGCAGATTTATTCATAATAGCCCCAAACTGGAAAAACCCAAATGTTCATCAATATACACTAGATACATAAATTGTGATATGTTTAAGTAATAAAAAAGAATAAACTGCCGATACATATAGCAGTAAATGGATGAATCTCCCAGACTTAACTAAAATTATGTAATGTTTAGTGTCCGAAACCTCTGTCTATTCCATAAGCTGCACTCTAAGGTTTACATTAACATGTGAAATGTTACGTGGGTCAGTTTTTTTTAATATCCCTTTTTTGGGGGGCTGCACTGAGCGGCAGGTGGGATCTTACCCCAACCAGGGATCGAACCCCGTGTCCCCTGCAGTGGGAGTGCAGTCTTAACCACCGGACTGCCAGGGAAGTCCCATGTGGGTCAATTTTTAACAGATTAAATAATTGTAAATATGCTTAATTTTCCCCTGATGCCAATACTAAATATATTTTGAAAACAAAGCACCTATTTCAAAAGATATGCATGTGTATTGTGGAAAAATTAGAACATACAGACTAACTACCATACCACCCCTCACCCATACTCTTTACCACACAGAAAGACCACAGTCAACACCTTGGTATGCACACACCTGAACACTTTTCTGAGCGTTTAAGGAAGCCTGAGTATTCTAATTTAATGTTAACACATACATACCTTCCAGGGACTCAACACATGGAACCGATCAGCAGAACGGTGAGAAGTTAGAGCTGTAGCTCCAAGTGCTAAGGCAATTACATCCCGTCTAACTAATCTCCTTACCTGGGCTTGACAGCTCAGCTGCTCCCTTCCTTCCCACCTGCAGCTCCGTGTTCACGTCTGAAGCACGCACTGCAGTTTGCATCACTCACTCACCCCTCGAACCTTCTGACCATCCATGCTGCCAGGTGCCCTCAGAACCCCCGTTGACCAGTTTCTAGGGCTCAGTTCTCTGCCCTTTGCAGGAAGCAGAGTTCAGCAGGGTTGGCCCCCGTAAATTCAGACCCCGCTTTACTGAGCAACCCTGACATTCACCTGTAACTGAAGGTTATCAGCAGCTCCTGCCTCTTCACAGTCCTCACCCCACCAGCACCTCATTGTTTTGGCCACTCTTGCTACATTCAGCTTCGTAGAGCTGACCAAGACTGTGGGGCGAGGGCTCCCCTGCCCCCTTCTCCATGCATAAACTTTTCAGGCTCTGCAGGTCCCCCCGTCTCCAAACAGGATCTACTCCTTCCCAGGACTGAACCCTCACGAGCCCTGCCGCCTCCAGTAGGACTCTGCCCCTGCAGTTCCGCTCGCCACGTCAGGATGCCCACAGGGTAGTGGAGGGAATGGCCAGCCTTACTGTCTTATAGCCCAGGATAAATGCTGTAAGACAGACAGGAGCCCTGAGTTACGGGTGCCAAAAAGGAAGGGCGATGGTCTCTTTGTGGCATAGGGGAGACCAGGAAGGGGCATGGAGAAGGCAGTCCGTGTGGACCAAAACCCAGCCAGCTCTCCACCAAGTAGCCCCTCATTCAGGCACAGTCTGGGAGCCCCATGCAGACAGAGCCTGAGCCAGGGCTGAGGGCATATTTACTTCCTCTCTAAAAAATTTTATATATGTTTTATGAGATATTACGTGATGCTTTTTTTTTTTTTTTTTTGCAGTACGCGGGCCTCTCACTGTTGTGGCCTCTCCCGTTGCGGAGCACAGGCTCTGGACGCGCAGGCTCAGCGGCCATGGCTCATGGGCCCAGCCGCTCCGCAGCATGTGGGATCCTCCCGGACCGGGGCACGAACCCGTGTCCCCCGCATCAGCAGGCGGACTCTCAACCACTGCGCCACCACGGAAGCCCTTATGGGATATTATGAATCTGTAAAGATTCTAGCATCTTCAAGTATGACCCTTAAAGAAAGGCATAAAACTTGTACACTTAAAATAACTGTAATCTCCTAGCAATTAAAAGAATCTGACCCAATTCATTTGGTAATTTATTTTGATTAAAATGTCACAAAGTTCTACTTCTTATTTCTTCATATACAATGTATCTAAATGAACTAAATTCAATCATTTGTAATACGAAAAGACATTACATATTAGTAGGGTGATGTTGCTTCATAATCATGTATTATTTCCACTCCTAAGATACATGCCCATGTTACAGAATCACAGCTATGGCCTGTGACTTTGGGGTGATGCAGAAGAGGCCACAGGCCCGGAGTGCTTATCAAATGATGTTTTATGCTCTGAAAGGAACAAAGGAGAAAACTTGGGGGGAACAATAGTTCCCACAAAGCTTGGGAAACAGATTTCTCAAAAGGAGGAACTGACAAAATTCTTCCATTATTCTTATGAGACGATCTTAAAACAGATTTGAATGCTGGTAAGATAGAGAAAATCAACTATGTTGCCTTTTCAAACTTATTTTTTTAAGTTATTGTATGAAAGATATTAAACAATGAAAAATTATGGCAAATATGCTGGCAGATAAAGTTTAAAGAAATCTTCTGGAGGATGAGATGATAAATGGCGTGGAAATTAAGCTTGAATGATATATTAGTTTTTGTGGTTTTTTAGTAAATTTATTTATTGCATTTTTTTATTTTTGGCTGTGCTGGGTCTTTGTTGCTATGCACGGGCTTTCTCTAGTTGCAGTGAGCAGGGGCTACTCTTTGTTGCAGTGCGTGGGCTTCTCATTGTGGTGGCTTCTCTCATTGTGAAGCACAGGCTCTAGGCGCGTGGGCTTCAGTAGTTGCGACACGCGGGCTCAGTAGTTGTGGCTCACGGGCACTAGAGCGCAGGCTCAGTAGATGTGGCGCACGGGCTTAGTTGCTCTGCGGCATGTGGGCTCTTCCTGGACCAGGGATTGAACCCGTGTCCTCTGCATTGGCAGGCAGATTCTCAACCACTGCACCACCAGGGAAGCCCTGATATATTAGTTTTAAATGGATATATACATAAAAATACTTCTATAATTCATTTCAGATTGAATATTCTCTTAAAAATTGGAGGGGCCTGAAATAAATATTTTTTTATGCAGGAGCGTTCTTAGTAAAAAGAGTTGGTAAAACACCTCTGCCCCCATCAGGCAGGCATGGAGTGAGAGGACTTTGACAGGCCGCCATGGCCAAATGGGATTATTTGGAAGACTCAGCCCTAGAACCCATTTGTGGCTTCATAAATGTATCTGGGCTTCACACGAACTTTAGAAAACTTAGGATAAACTGTGTCCCTGGGTCTCACTCCCTCTGGGTGGACCGCTGTCACAAAATAGATCTAGACAAGAGGCACCTGGCAGAAAATACGAGACTTGCAGGAATTCTAGTAAAAGCTGGCTGAGATTCCAAAGGTAGCAGTGGCCTTTCCAACCTCAGCCGGCGTGTGTTCTTACAAGATGACAGTGGCAGCACCATCACCACGAGCAAGAGCAGATGTGGCCCATTTGGGAGAATTCTTATTTTCTTCCTTAAATCACATTCCAAAGCATTTCCAGTTCCAATTAATAAGCCACATCCCTCTATGTGACCTTCATTTAGCTTTTGAAAGAAAAGTGCATTTATTCTCTTTTTTCGTGCTATAATCTATTGAGAAAGCCTAGTTTGAAACTGCTGGGGATCTGGATCATTTCCAGAGCATGTGGAGAGGGGGTAAAAGGAAATGTGACTTGAAAGAGATACTTGGTATCCAACATCAGGTGTGATGAATCCTCTCGGCTACTGAGGAGAGCCTGAAATGAAAACCAGAGGAAAAATGAGTAAGGAAACCAGGGCACTCTGCTTTATGGCTGTCTGGAAGTCAAGAGCAAGGAAAACACAACTCTGTCTCCAGCGAAAAACTCGTTTCAAAATCATGTGAGATAACACACAAAACGGCTTTTCAACAGCACAGCTCCAAGGTGAAATGGTTTATCCAGGTCTTCCGGATCAGCTCTCATCAATACTCAACTTGCTCTGTTTCACTTCAGAAGTTAATTTCCCACAGGATGGACTGACTGTAAATCGATCTACTTTCTATTCTCACCTATTCTCATGGCATAATTCTAAGACCAAACACGAGTGGAGCTCAGTATTTTATTGCATTAATATTTCTTTTTAGTTCAGTGGTTTGCAAACCTTTTTGGTTTCCGGACCCCTTTATACTCTTAAATTACCAAGGACGCCAAACAGCTTTTGTGCATGTGGTTATAACTACTGATATCTATCATATTAGCAATTAAAACAATAATTTTAAATATTTATTAATTCATTAAAATAACAAGCCCAATACATGTTAACATATTTTTATTGAAAAACTATATTTTTGAAAACAAATCAAAAAACTAGTGAGAAGTGGTATTGTTTCATAATTTTGTAACTCTTTTAAATGTATGACTTAATATGACAGGTGGAATCTTGTATCTGCTTCTGCATTCACCTCTAGTGCTATGTTATTTTGGTTGAAATGTATGAAGAAAAGTCTGCCTCATACAGGTATGTATTTGGAAAAAGGCAGACTTTGCAGGCTCCCTGAAACCATCTCAAGAATCACCCCCCCCAAGGACCCTTGAACCAAACTTTGAGAACTGCTGCCCTAGTTCATTGGGCAAGAAACTTCAGGGATTAAAATAAGAAAAAATGGGCACACAGGTTCTCTCTTTCCATTCAGCCTCTGCTCCCTTGCATATACTCAAAGACTGATGAGAAACAAGACATGCTGAAGGAACACAGAATGTGAGTCACGGTTTTGGTGTTTTTGTTCCCTTCCCACCCGGGGGGGAAAATGGGTTCTGAAAACAGGGAATTTGACAGGGAGAATTCCTGTTGCTTTTCCTGGGTGCCTTTCCTTTGTATATTTGGTACATGTACTTTAATCCTGAATTTCTATAATGGTAATTAAACAACACTGTCTTATACTAAAAATTAAAAGACACATCCTTAAGGATCTCACCTGTACTTTGCGAACAAAGGATGGAGTCACTCTTTTCTCGAAGTCATCTATAGGTGTGTATGAGTTAAGGATCTTTATGATCTGCAAACAGTACATAACATGGTGTGAGGCCACAGAAGAGGACAACTCTCTCCATGAAATAATGGTTCCAGTGGTCTGGGAACAGTCGGGAACCAAAAGTGGTTCTTTCAGACTATAATCTGGCTCTAGGAACCATGTGTTATTTTTTTCCAAAAGAGAAAACAAGCTGAGAAGAGCATAGAAGGCAGCAAGGACATCCTATAATTAGATGACCTTAAGAGAATTCCCCATTTCCAGCCTCCTTCCCTGCTCCCACCCACTCTCCCCACAGATACACATATGTGAGTATACCGGGCAGGGAATGTGTCATACGCATTTTTATGTTTTTAAGGCCTAGAGTTAGTATTTAATAAATGCTGTTAGATAAGAGGGCAGCCCATGGGAGATACGTATGCTCCCCAAAGAGCACAGAGAGATGCAGATGCACCCCACAGCTGGCTAAGCCAGGAAAGGCAATGCCAATTACATGATCTGTGGGTGAAGATCAGGGAGACACTCAGCAAGCCTGGTCACCTGCACAGCAGACAGGGAGGTACAGCGTTCGTAGATTTCCTTGGCATCGCTGTCTGTGGTCTTCTTGACCTGAAGCAACCAGGCTGCCTGAGAGAGAGCTTCCAAGGTTTCCCTGGCCAAGCTGTTCTGCAAATTCTTATCTTTAAGCCATTCTTCTAAGTAGCTGATGTTGCACCTGGAGTAAATGCCAGAGGAGCAGAGAAGAGGGGTGACCTGCTTAGAACACTTTAGGGGAGGGTGCCGAATCCTCCAGTGTGTCCCAGCATGGTACCAGAGCTCACTGGGATCCTTAAGACTACAGCCCAGCAGTTTCTTTATTTGTAACAAGACGGGAGTGGGCCAGATGATCAGCTCTCACGATCCATGGTTCTAAGGATCATGATGGTCTAGGGTGAGGGGCCATAAGAGCAATAAACTTTGGAGAAAATCTGAGCAAAGAACAGTGACTACAATAATTTATAATCTATTAAAGTACCCTTAATAATAGGTTTGAAAATATATTAAAGGAAAAAATCATAGTGGTATTTGAAGAGAAGACCTACATTGGTATAAAAATTGTTTGATCTCTTTTCCCAAATTAGCAGAAAATTTTCAGTTGGCAGAGGCTTTCTTTTAGTCCACTGGGGTTTTTATTCTTGTTCCTGTCACCGATTATCATAGGTTTATGAGTTAAGAGCCATGGGTTTTAATCCCACCAACCCGTTGTGTGAGCCTGGAGAGTTTACTCAACCTCTCTTGGTAAATCAGAGTACTGAGAATACTCATACATTGCTAGTGGGAATGTAAATGGTACAGCTGCTAAGGAAAGCAGTTAGGCAGTTCCTCAAAATGTTAAACATAAGACCACCTTCTGACCTAGCAACTCCACTCCTAGGTACTTACTAAAGAGAACTGAAAACATGTCCACACAAAAAATCATACACAGATGTTCACAGCACCATTAATCATTATAGCCAAAAAAAGAAGACAACCCAAATGTCCACCAGTTGATGGATAGATAAACAAATTGTGGTCTATCCATACAATAGGATATTATTTCGCAATAAAAAGGAGTGAGGTACTGCCACATGCTACCACAGGGGGGAGCTATGAAAACATTATGCTAAGGGAAAGAAGCCAGTCACAAAAGACAACATATTTATGATTCCATTTATTTTAAAAATGTCCAGAATAGGCAAATCTACAGAGTAAGAAA